GTTACACGTCTAGAATGGTTTCCTTTTTTTCGCATGTTAGGTATGGCCAAAAATCACAAGATCAAATGTAGAATCAGTCACATACAGTCGAGTGTTTAAGAATACCCCCACCTCTTGGAAAATCACGTCAGGATGTGTACACAGTGAACGAAATGAAATACCTCCTCAGAACAAGTAGGCCTAATAAGGGAATAAATGTGTGCTCGGCAGGTTTTAAGCACTCTGTTTAAGACCGGTTGGAGTCTGGATGCTGATAATTACCCGAGCTGAAGGCAAAGGTAATTATCGGCATCCAGACTCCAACCGGACTTAAACATAGTGTTTATACTGACCAAGCACATATTTATTCCCATTCATAAATACCTTTTCGGTAAAAAATATTACAACTTTTCGGTCCAAGAGTCAAAACAAAGTCAAATATTAAAACTTTCAAACGATTTTGTTCAACAATAACATTTTGTCTTTTTTGAAACATCCCTCTAGCTATATAATTGAGTGTCAAACTCGCGAGTAAGTCGTAAACAACTCTTTTTTATAGAGATTGGCGCGCGTCGTGCGTACTGCGCGATGTCGCGCAGAATGCAGCTGTGGCGGTGCGTTGTGAATTTAGGACTATGAAATACTGGTAGTATTGCGCTTGCCTACGTGAGGATTGTGAACGTTCAAACAATAAAACGGTAAAAGGCACCGGATTTCATAGGAGTCCAAATTTCATGTGACACTGGAAAAGTGTTTAAGACCAGGCAGCTGGTTTTTATCATCCGTTTAAGACCGGCCACGTGACGGGCTCTCGACCAGTAGGAATGGGTAAACTGTCTTCGGAATTTATGAATAACAATTAACGGATCGAGTTTTGGCATATTTAAGTTAAAAACCTATGCATTAGATTTGACTAGAAAATAGTTAAACTTGCAGCCAGCTGATGACTACAGCTAGGGTCAGCTGGGTGCAAGTCGGACTGATTTGATTTCTAGTCAAATTTAACTAGTCTAGAGTGTTTTCAGTATAGTTTCAATTAGTGTCCAGAAGGTTTGCAAGCTTAGTATCAATTATGAAATTAGCTTAGTGTCAATTACAACATTAGCTTAGTGTCAATTATAAAATAAGTCTCCACTTTTGCGAAGTTTCGAAATATTTATTTACAACTTCTTCAATCGTTACACAACAATGTTAGAGTTATGCGATAAAACGGAAACGCCTCTTCACAGTATATAAAACAAAACTGTATATAGTACGTTATTATCAATAAGTTACATGCAATAATCACCAACAAAACTCACCAAGGACAGGGTAAACATTACACTGTTGTTACAGGAGTGCACGCTTGCCGGGTTTAGAAATACGGCATTATGAACACTATCCGGCAAGGTATGAATTACGTTCCACAAGCGTGCAACGTAAAAAAAAATGGAAAATAATAGTTTGGACTAGACGAATCGAAGCACGTGATCACATTGTACGCTCGCGAAGGCCCCTTTCAATGAATACGCCGTTATGCTACCTATTGTACAGAGCAACTGTTCCATGACATATACCCTGTATAAAACAATGCGTTCGCCATTGGAAAGGGCCTCCGTGATAGAAATGATAGCATGCCCGGATTGATCTCAATGGGAGACGTTTAAGACGTTGGTGGCAACAAACATACCGGTCCTTTTTCCATCGTTTGCGTCATGTTGAGCATGCGCACTTTAGCTTAAACATGACGAGAACAATTGAAAAGGACCGATGTGTTTGCTGCCATCAACGTCTCAAAAGTCTCCGATTGAGTTACAATATAATTCGACGATGCCACATAGCTATCCCAAACTGACCGTCTGATTTCCATTTAAACGCAATGTAGGCCTACAGGGTGTTTCTAAAAACCCCATTAACTAAAAATAATGGATTATGTAACATTTAGGCTATGAACTTTAACACCGTGAAAGTGGCTCTTATTCAACAAACTTATTCATGACTAAAGAGATGCAATTGGGATGGAGCCATTTTGTTCATTTTCATAATTTTTACATAAAAACCCATTATATTTGGATTGCCTTTTTTCTCTCTTTTTTTTACACCCCGTACATCACCCTGTAATGCTAATTGAAGTTGGTAATTATAAAGACGGACACACATTGCCTCCCCTCATTTGGTGTTAGGATCTTGTATGATGAGATGTTACACATGGTATGATAACGACACGAGAATAACCCCAAAGGATATTACACGTGGCAAAAGTTTGTTATCTCAAAAACTGACCTTTGATTCCGTCCGCTTATTGTGTTTGTTTAACAATGAAGCGTTTTACAACATTATGCAAATCAGGACGTTAGAATAACCGGATGTGACCAATTGAAAGGTTAGCACCAGAATTTACGCAAAAGTGTGTATCTAATCAAAGCTGGACGATTTAATAAAAATAGAAGCAGTAAAACACAATCGAGGGTGATCTTTTGAAATCATAGGACGAAATCGAACAATATTCAGTTTTAATACAACATAATGATAACATATCTTACATACAGGACAGGCTTAAATAAGAAACAAATGAGGTGAGTGTCCCTACATTTTTTTTTTTTGTACAATTAACAAGTGATTAGTAAAAATAAAGCTATACACAGTCATAATTATGTATTTTACACAGCATGTACAATATGCCAAATTCAATTACTTGAACATCATACATTGAAGAAAAAAATAGAAACACAATAGTAAACAACATTTTCCAGCACAGGTGGTCAGGTTTAAAATGCATGATGAATATACTGCAAATGCATTACGTTGCATTTGTCGCCAACAGCAATAAATTCAGACACTGTTAAACCACCTACCCGACTGTCTCTTTCCAATAAGGGTGTTCTTAATGGTTATGCTTTAACATTTTCAAGTTCAGATACTTCACTGGTTCTATGCTGATGAGTTATTATTGCCGAAATGTGGAGATTAATAGTTCAAAATGTTGACTATAGAGTTATCATTATGGTTATAACCACCACACCACTAGCGCCACAATCTCTACCACCTTCGTCGTCATTACCACCACAATCACCACCTTCATACCATTATCATTATCACTTTTACCACTTTCACCATCTTTAACATAACCACCAATTCACCTTCACCAAATCACCCCCGCCACCTTCAACACCACAGCCACCAGGTCACCACCACACCCCAACCATCATTACCTTTACCACCGTAATCACCACCAACTTCACCACCATCACTGCAATCACCAAATCACTTATATCGCCACTACTTCCACCGCCACAGCCACCCAGACCACCTCTAACATTGCAATTATTCCCATCAAAATGATCCACAAATGAAGACGCAACTATACAGAATACAAGCTGACCATCTTTACCACTGTAAGTCACTCCAATTCTAATCATGAATCCTTTTGAGGTGCCAACTCTAGGTACCAACTTGAGGTACTTGAAATAATTCTACGTGAACATGTTTTTGTTGCATGATTCACATGGCCCATCTTGATTCGATTACCCTGTTTTTGTCACGGCATGAGTGACATACCCTTAATAGATGTTTCCCGGCCGACGCGGTTTCGTCAAAAGTGGTATTCAAATTTATTTTCGTGCGTTCGCTTTCAAGCAATTTTGCTAACCCACTTACTTCTGTGATTCGTTGTCAGATTCAGTCACTAAAATTCGTTTCACAGACACGCAATCTCTTTGCATTTGCGTCATTCAATTTAGAAACGCAGATTTGTCATTACACTTCGCCAGCGTTCTAATGTTAAGCGTCCTTCTAACTGAACTTAAAATTGGCTGCTGATTTGACGAATTCGGCCGGAAAAAAAAATATTATTAAAGTTCCGTGTACGAAGCATGGCTTGTTGTGCAGGCATGTGTGGTTCTCTTGCGGTCAGTGACCGCATCTATGGATCCACAGCCTTGCTGTATGATTACAAAGTTTTGGCGCACGGAGTTTAATTATTGTCATCTCATCACCACCACCACCATCAGTAAATTACAGTTACGTTCCCTGTGCTCTTGAACAAATTCGATTTTTTTTTCTATTAATACATTTTCAACTTGTATTTTTTATTTCAACCAAAAACATTTTCCCAATGGATCCGCTTTGAGAGTACACTGGTTCCCGGTCCGTATCCCATTATCGATACCGATTGTTGGGCGGGAACCAGCCTAACCAGCGCGAACGGAAATTATTGTTTGGCAGTCAATAATTCGAAATTGTAAAGTAATCATTAAATAACTAAACATGGGCCGATTTTATTTCGGTCGATGTCTCATTCAAAAATTAGGAACTTTTGTATTGCTACAAAAATAGCAATTAAGAAATGGAATCCATATTTCGGGATGAAACTCGAAACTAGCACGGGGAATCATCTTTAACATTACCGTTCACACCGCAGTTTTCAATGTCATTATTTCTAACGACTCATGTTTCACTTTGGCGCACATCACAACCACGACAAAGCATGAAATCGCAACACAGAATCTCCATCTGTCTTGGTTAGTCTACGGGCATAAATATTGTTGTACGTCTTGTAATGCAAGTAGCGAATTAACGCACCGGCCAACACAGGCCTGTATGTACACTGTAAACCTAGGACCTCTCACACTTTTGTTCCTCGAATGCTTAAACAGTAATATGGGAAAATGTTGTGCAATCTGAGGACGTATCAACTGTGATGTTAAGATACTGGTCAAAACTTTAATTTGACAACACACTGATATAATTGTTCCCAACACCGACACGGGAAGTCATGTTGGCATTCCACCGCTGTGGCCCGGGTTCGATTCCTGGCCGGACCACATGTGGATTGGGTTTTCAATCCCTACCTGATTCAGTGGCTTTTCCCCCGAATATTCTTCTGGGTTTTTCCTCCCACCTCTTAAATTGTAATTTCTTCTCATTGTCTTCTCTCTATAGGTTTCTTCAAACTTTCGAGCTACAGTGCCTAGGGCACTTTTGAGGAATCCGTGGTTAAATTACCAAAAATAAAATAAACAAATTATTCATTAAGGCAGCAAGACTTGACCCCGATCAGTTTAGATGAGATAATATTTACAGTGAATTCATTGATAAAGTATGGCAATTCATTAATTTGTATCAGATTATAAAATAAATGCAACTGACACTTCTCTACTTACAAGCTTGCAAGAACAATTTACAAAGCGAGAGGTAAATATTTTAACTCAACATAATGATTGTCCAATCATCACCTACATTAAAAATTAAAAAGATCAAATCTTGAATAAGTCAAAATTGACTCATTAAAGCCTGGCGCTGGGATCGGAGCAATATAGTACTTTTGTTTAGTCTATAAGACCCGGATGCACTCAGCCGTCAAATTCGCCGCCCTCAACCAACTTTTTGAAAGGAAAAAAACAAAACAAAGGTAGCCCTTTTTGTAAATGTTTCACAATCCACCTTTACGTTGTTGAAGAGCGATCTCTCGTAAATCTGCCCCGACTTCCCAAATTGAACACCAAGAAAATGTAGGGATTCACCGCCGAATTGGACACCGCGAACGTGCCCAGCACGGCGTAAACATTCTGGTCAATTGCAAAACCAGAGTTGTACAACCTGATAATCTCCACGATAAAGTATGGCAAACCACAGGCCATGAAGACCAGAATAATCACAGTGGACATGGTGAGAGTCTTGTTCTTTGCCTTGATCAATAGGGCCGAGGAGGTCACCCTCAAGTTCATTCGGTTCCCGTTGGAGTAAACAGTCGTCGTCTTGATGGAGTGGTGCATACTGCCTCCCGACGCGCGAATCCAGATTTGCTTGGTGATGCGAATGTACGCAATGGCGACCACGACGAAGGGTATGAGGAAGCTAACAACGGCAGCGTAGGTAATGTAGGCGACCTTCCAAGACGCCACTGGCTCTGGGAAAGAGGTGGAACATGTCTTTAAGGCACCCGTTTCCTTCTGATACCAAATGATCAGTTGGGGGATAGAAAACACCAGTGCGCATGCCCAGGCCATTGCTATTACCCCTTTTAGGTTGTAGCCTTTTTTGAGTGGGTTTCTGACTGCCTGATGTCTGTCGACTGCCAACAGGACCACCATGTTGCTGGACGCCATTAGGCTCACGCTCTGCATGAACATTACCAGTTTGCAGACTATGTTACCAGCATACCAACTGGTGCCCTGTAATTCCAAGATGGCGCTGACCAGCACGTTGAAGATACACACGCACATGTCGGCAATGGAGATGCCGAAGACGATCTTGTAAAGGCGGGATCGCCGGCGGCGGAAGAGACAGAGCCAGGCGAACACCAGTAAGTTTCCCAGGCTTCCGACAGCGAAGAGTATCCACAGCGTGGCGATGCGAGCTTGGAAGCCGTACGGCGAGGCACTGTCGGTCTCGTTATTGCCCAAGGTTGGCGGTTCCTGGTCGCCATCTTGGATGGAACTTTCTGTGACAAGTTTATAACTCATGCTGAAATTTCAAGAAAATTGTTCAGGTCATGACATATGACGTGCGTCCAGGTGTGATTCTCGTAAGACATCTGTGCAAAAAAGAGAGAAAAATCTCTGTAAATAAAGAGAAGAACCGGTCCTATACATGTATACTAAAAGTTGAATCAACCAAACAAAATCATATACGAAGTTTACGCATCTTACAAACTGCAAATTAATAATTATACATGGAAGTTTCAGAATAGTCATTTCTGACGAGAAACATAATCTGAAATTGTTACAACTATATTTGCGTCAGAAAAACAAGCATAATATGTATGCAAAACATAAGTTGGATCTTTAATCATTTTTGTCAAATCAATATACCAGAGGGTGGAAGACCATTGAACCTTCTCAAAGCCCCATTTTCTTACAAGTATAAGAAGAGACACTAATTTCGCTTGAAATGTAGGACATAGAGTGCATGCAGCTGAGGGGCTTGATCGAGTTCCCGGTCACCCGCCTGCCTCGGGAAGAAAAAACCCTGGGGACGGTCCCGGTTTTAATGAAAATCTCGATCCCAATAGTAAGCACATTAAATAAGGAGTTAATGTTTTGGCGGCAAAGGGCGCGTCATTCACGTGGTTCAGCGCCTCCGTTGAACAAATCGAGTCTGACTGGAAGCAAATTAGCTGGCAGAATGTGATCATGATGTTTACGAACGGATGGCACTCGATGCTCCCAAACCCAAACTTCCGCTTTTCAACAAACCTCACGCACGGCAAGCTTAATGCGTAAAACTTCTCCGTTATAGCCTAAAGGAGCGATTTCCATCATCCAGAAATGGCTCGGAGGTGGTTGTTGGGTGACGTCGTCGTTTGGATCGTTTGAGGTGGAGAGGAATCTTTTTAACTGCTTATTTTTGGTGACTTTCGGGATTTCGTAAACAATTATTTCCAACTACACTCAACCAAAAAAGAAAGTCCCCCTTCGAATACTTTTTTGTCTAACTCAAGAACCACTGAGCAGCTCTCGCACAAATAACGACTAATCAGTACAGAAATTCCTTAGCAATCCAACCATACTCTTTGTTTGGCCCAAAACAGTGATAATGTGTACGAATTTATGCAATTTATGACAAATGATGCCGACAACAGTTGCACTTTTGTATAAGTGCAAGTTGTGGTTCACACTCACCTTTCACGTATACAGAAGTGCAACTTTTTTTGGTACTATTTGTCATAAATTGCATAATTGTGTACACATTATCACTGTTTTGGGCCACACAAAGAGTATGGCTAGATTGCTAAGGAATTTCTGTACTGATCAGTCGTAATTTGAGCAAGATGTGCCAAGGAGTTTTTTGAGTTTAGACAAAAAAGTATTAAGGGGGACTTTCTTTTTTGGTTGAGTGTATATTGATTAATTACGATAGCTCGTACAGGATTAAGAGAGTAAAGCCTGTCACGAGCCAATGTGACCCATCAGGCTGGCCGGCATTTATCTCCGGTTTCAGTGGCATGAAACAACTGAGAATATGTTGTTTTCCTACTGGATGGAATGCCAGTCCATCGCAGGTTACCCTCCAGCTAATGCCGGTAGTATTTATACCCCGGGGTGCTGTGGTCCAATGGTTACGGTGTTCGACTCGTGTGCCGTGGTACATGGGTTCGAATCCTGACCGTGGGTACATGTGATTGTGCTCTTGAGCAAGGCACTTTACCATTATTGCTTCGTCCTTCGGATGGGACGTAAAGCCGTAGGTCCCGTGTGTTGTGTTAGCACGTTAAAGAACCCAGTAACACTTATCGCTAAGAGAAGGGGTTTGCCCCGGTGTTTCTGGCAGTGGCTGCAATATGCGTCGCAGCATCTTGTAAACCATTACAAGGTGCTACATAATGGGTCTCATATTTCTCCTAAACTTTATTTACCTTTCTTTAATAATAGACATATATCCAGCGCCTTGAGTACCTAATAGTGGTAGATACGTGTGCTATTTAAGACTCCGAAATTATTATTATTACTCCTGAAACACCTGAAATTAAAGCGGTCAAAATAACGTTCAGATTGATTTTTTTTAACATAGAATGATAATATTATACTGACACTCAATTCAAAAATTTTGGGAAAAGAAAGAAGCATAAACCGGTTTGAATATATTTCAGGGTGTTCTGAAGATACCGTCGTTGAAAAAACCAACGGCGTCAAAAACAATCAATAGCGTTACGACTATTATACGGAGACATGCTATAATTCCAATCAAACGAAAAGTTTTGATATCATTTCACAGCGGGTCGAAAAAAATATTGCATTCTGATTTTGAAGATCATAAATTTTACAGCCAGCAAAACACGGATTGCTGTTTTAGACCCTTAGACTCCGAGGTGTCTGACAGATTTAGTATTATTTCCCTTTAAAAGGCAATGGATGACGCCGAATGACTGAATCCCCCAAGGTATCCCTTTATCATTTTGAGGCGACAGCGGTGGTTAATGGTCGTATTATATACCACTGGTTTACAGTCAACAATCTGTTCTATTGAGTAAACACGCCGTCAGCTATTGCAGTCGACAATATCAAGTATTTTAATTAAATGACAGCCGCCACTCTGCGAGGTTAATTCATTTCCGCCTGGAAGTTCAACTGATGTCATTTTTTTTTACTCATGTTTAAACATGCAAGTTGATTTCAAGTATGATGAAGCAGAAACAAAATACTTAGATACATGATGAGAATTTAAACCCAATTTTCCGTGTTTTTGTATTTTTCAATGTGACACGATAAAAGCCAAAGATTGAATCAGTTTAAAATTTGAATTCGAATTTAACCAGTATTAATATATACATCATTCTTTGAACATGGCAAACATGATAAACAACATTCTTGGCTACAAATTTTACTCAGCCGGGTAAAAGTTTGACTGTTTTACTACAGTTTTGTTGTAGTTGAAGAGTTCACACCAAACAGTATTAAAACGATGCTTCCATGCAATGTGCTTACAAAATGTATTTGTAGACTTCACTGCATGCATGGCATTTCCAAAATAATTTGTATTACACCCATCTTATAATGATTCTTTTTCTTTATTGGGCTAATATAAGTGAGTTTTCATCTTGCATTACAATACAACATTTCTGATACTGAACTTTCGGCCGCAGTTTCCTTAAAAGCGGGTGCAAAGGTTTTATAATATCATCTGTACGTGATGACCTTTCCTTCAAAAATTTCAACAGTGATGTAGGCCTACTTGTGACGTCATCAACTTTACACTAGCTGCAAAAAGGAAACTGTTCAATGACTTCACTGCAGAGGCTCGTGCTAGCTCGCTGAGAAATTGGGGGAAAATCAAGGTTTTATATATGAAATAATGATCAAACTCACTGGCTGCCCGCTCCAGAACAGGAAGGCCGCCGAGTGCTCCCGCGGCAAATACGTGACAGTCTCACCGTCTATTGACAAGCACCGACCTATAATAATGATCATTGCCCTAAAACCCTTGATATGGATTCCAGCTGCCACCAATTCAGTTTAAAAAGAGCCTCATCCTCGTTCAATGTACAATAATGGTTTCTGAATGTAAATACATCTAATGTTTTAGCATTATGCAGAGCACTGTTGGAGAGGCATATTTCTTGATGTTCGGATGGGGAGTGAGCCTCGTGTATTTGTTTCGATTGGAAGACTATGCATCCTCCGAACTCTAGCATATCAATTTCTAATTTTTATTGCGAAGGTCAGATTTTGCGAGGATAGCAATTGTGTCCTCGTTATAAAGGTTACTTCATACATCAATGACGCCCAAAATTATGCCACAGACACCAAAAAGTCACTGTTTGACATTTTGCGCTCCAAACAATTCTCATCGACCCCACGAAACAGCCGTCGAGGCTGGCTGAACGTGTAAAGCAATTTGAAGTTCACAAGCGGGAGACGATTGTTCAATGACGATTGTTCAGTGAAATGTAAAACCTGTTTTCCCGCTTCGTCACGAATGGTTAAGCAACGCAGTAGACACGAACTAAGAGGCGTTTGACGTGACTCGACAATCCAAAAAAACCACCCAAAACTAATCAAGAAATAACTCATTTTCTTTTATTCAATATACTAAAGTCTCCGGTGGATCGTGAAAGACCCAAACCTTAGAAACGAGATATTGAAAAACAACGTTTTCAAATCAATGATTGCATGGTAAATTATCTCACGGTAGAGGTGAGCATTTTGACATTCGGTCACAAAAGGTCTCAGATCACCCAATCTCATTGGCAACACTGTTTCACAATCAATTGGAAGACGTGATGTTCTTCGAATTCACACTATGCACTGCAAACAGCTTCGTGTGCACATTTTAGCAATCAAAACCTAAGAGCTTAACATGCAACAGTATGCGTTGGAAGAAGTTGACTGATGAGCTTTCAAGGAGGTACGGTGCTAAAACACTTATCCATCTTTCAAGAATGACGGAGATATTAATTAATCAAATTGGTATTTTTATAGCGCAAAAACGTCTTGGAAATGCGCCTAATGGGGCTACAAAATGAGTAAATGAAACGATTTTAAGTGGAAAGAGCATTTAAAAGTAAGATATAAACATTCACACAACCATACACGTCTGTTTATGGTGTAAATCGAGGCTTTTCTTTTGTTCCTCTTCCCTTTCCTTTGTTTGTATAACTTTTTCGCAACAGCTCTCATTGGTTTTGTACACGTTTTCTAACCGATGAGTCCTCGATTTGGTTCCTGACCTCGATTCACCGATGATGTTGCACGTGTGTGTCCTCGATTTACACCATAAACAAACGCATCCTTTAATAATTGAGCATTTTTGTGTTATTCTTACGAGAACGAATTTCGGGGGTCCAAATTTTGACTCTCAAAAATCGAGCTGCTGCTTGCTAGTCGTGAATCCTGCCGCAGTGTTTTGGTGCTGTGTGTCATACTCACAACGAGTACCGTACATTGAATGGACACACCTGGAAATACGTATGCGTATGGCACAAAAATGTATCCGCGTACGGTGTAAACAACCGGGTTTTTATCGTCTTTTCGGGAATGGCAAGACATTATATCCGGGGATTTCAGGCCGAACTGTCTCTTTAACGACATA